TGCTGAAAGAAAAAATAGAAGGCAAAAAAGCCTGCATAAAGCTCGGCAAGCTAGAATTTCGGTCAGAGAAACATTACAGGCCTGTTGAGAGCTGTAGAAAGGGAATTTGGTAAATTGGCAATGCCCTTCACCTTGATAATGAAATTGGATAGTTGCTACGGAGTATTTGCATGTCCTCATACAAGTCTGACTTTTCTGGCTGTTGACAGTAAATCAGAGGTGTCTTTTATAAAAAGTTAAAAGATAAAATATGTCTTACCATTAACTTTCAAGTTATTTTGTTGTCTCAGCTCAGAGCTTCACTTCTCAGAAATCAAATTAAAACAGCAAGGTGATCCCTCATCCCATACAGGCCAAGGAATGAATAAATCTAGGCAACACTGCACCACGAGGAAACACTGTCGAAATCCGATGTGTCCCTATTAGCTGTCCAAACCAACAGCAAAGAAACTAATGCAGTCTCTAGGTGTAAGTCTGCATTACTATGGAACTAGGACAGGCACCTATGCAATACCATAAAAGCTATGTACATGCCAGCAAGCTGTTCCTACACAATGTCAGGTCTGCAGATCCTAAAACTTCATATGATTTTACTTGGACTCACATTGTTTATCACAGAAATACTTATGTGTATTTTAATATATCTATAGATACATATGTGTATCTATAAAGAGACAGAAAGAAGGAGAAATGGAGGGAAAGAAAGCATTGTAAGAAGCACATGTTTAATTACAAACCTTATTTCCTAAATTCACAACCAGAGGAAAACTAAAGGATCCACATACCGTATACTATATATAATAATTGACAAACCTTTTCTTTCTCTAGAATTTGTTGGGCATCCTGAAGTAATTTTTCCTTTGCCTCCGTTTCAGCAAGAGTAGCTCTATTTTGCTCTTCATATGCCATAGTTACTACAGCCAAGATCAGATTGAAGAGATAAAATGAGCATAAAAAGATGACCCCCAGAAAAAATAAAATGTAGTTCTTTCCAGATGTACGGATAGTCTGTGAGGAAAAGGTAAAGATTGTAACAAATTATTCACAAACCAACATTTACAGTAGAATTTCAAAGTAACTTTAAACAATTTATTTTCCTATACAATACAAAAGGTCAACTCATTGCATTGTTTTCATTAACCAACAGTAGGGTCCACCTCTGGTGTAAGTTATACAGAAGGTCTAGAAATACATCTAACCAGAAGTTCCCCCGGCCTTCAAGTAAATAAATTTCATCTCTTAAAAAATTCTCTGTGGTCATACAATGTTTTCTGTTTATAACAGACCATTAAACATTCATAATGATGCCATGTACTGCATAGAATTAACAAAAATCCCTTCTTAAAATTAAATACCTCCAACAAATCGGGGAAAATGATCATCAGAATTTAAGTTATGAGAATACAACTTCAGCTGTAAGGGGAAATGCAGGAAACCTCAGACTAAATGAATAAAACAGTAATAAGGATGAAAACTAGGATTATCTAAGCGATCATGAAAGATGTTAGAATTAGAGATTCAGAGTCAATATTTAGACTGACTGATTATTCTTACAGTCTTTAAATGGCAGCAGAGGAGGTGGCTCAAAACTAAGATCTGAGACATTAAAAACTAAAAATCATGTGACCTCAAAATGGCAAAAAGATGTATCCATTTAAAAAAAAAAACCCAAAGCCTCAATTAATTGGGGTTGCAGGAAAAAAGTTAAAGTGGACAACTTCTGAAAGTTATAGAACAAGGCAAAGGATAATTCCCTTCTAGGAAAGGCACTGCATAGATGTGCTGGATTCAGCCAGGA